AAAATTAAAATGCAATTAAAATCTCAATTTTATTAAAAAATTCTCAGAACTTGATTTTCTTAGATCACAACCCATTTATTATTTTATTTATAAATGATTAATTTGTATTAAATATAAATAGGACTGTTTAAACTCCCCATCATATTCAAATTTTACTTGTTATTTTATAATAATTCTTCATATGCATAAATGAAATCGTCCTAAGCAAAATAATATGATTCTTGAATAACACTTAAGGCGTAATCAATGTCGATCATGAAACGTTTCACTGCATTTTATGATTCATGTACAATTTTCGGAAAAATTTCAGTGAAACAAATGTTTTTGTTATTGTCTTCTATTTTTGTAAATGGTATTTTATAAAACTTCCAATCGATGTTTATAAACATTCTAAAATTTGAACTTGATCATTTGTTAATAAAAGTTTTGATTGTATTTTTTACTTGTTGGTAAATATTTGTATACATGGAAAGGATGTAAGCTTTAAGAATGTTCAAAATAATGTTATGTACGACAAAAACAAATTATTTTCTTTTAATTACATTAGGGAGGCGGATGTGTTTTAAACTTGTTTGATAACGAATGTAAGGTAAAGTTTTATAATTTAATAATTTTTTTTATATATTTAAGATACAGAAAATCAAACAAAATTACTATTACCAGGATATCGAAACATAAAATTAAAACGCGGTAGCGAGATTATGTTATTAATTTTGAAATGAAAGTTGAACGAAACCAGTTCTTTCTATGTTCAGAAAACTTGGTATAAAAACGAATAATATTCTTCTTTGACATTAAATGATCATTTATTGTAATATTTCGTTTATATTATCAATTGTGTCTGTTATTTTTGAAAATAAAAGTGTCGTTCTAATTGATATTTTCTTTTCAAGTTAATCTTTCATCATAAGAAAATATTTTCCATGTTTCACAAAATATAAGGAAGATATGAGATTGGAATTGGATATTATCGCTCATTTTTCTAGAGAATGAAAGAAGTACAAATTTAAAAATAACCGCACATTGTACTTTTTATACAGATTTAGTTTCTTGTAGGTATCGAATTTCTTTGAAACTTTAAGTCAACGGCTTCGTCCCGTCTCACGATAATATGAAAATTGTTCTTATTACGTGAACCAATTTGAAACCAGATATATGAAATAAATCTTTAATACGCGTATATCAAACATTACATTGATTTTATTTTAATTTTTGTTTTTCGGTCGAGTCAAGTGATATAACATTTACATCCATAACGCCAGTTTATTATATTAAAAAATTTTCTAATTATAAGCTTTTCGAAATAAATTAATAAATAAAAAAATAAATAAAATTTAAATTATTATATTAATAATTTGCAATATTGCATATAGGAAAGACAAATTAAATTAAACAAACAAAACTAAAAATTAAGCTAAATATGAGAAACTAATAAACAAAATGAGCCAAAGGAAAAGTCCAAAGGTCGCGAGGCCAAAGAAGCAAAATCCAACGATACTGAAAGGAGGGAATCAGATAATGAAAAATATTCACCAGAACGTTCCTCATGCACCCCCTTTAATAATAAAAATATTATTAAAGAGGTGCATGTGAGAGGGGATGTCTGGTGAATAAATTTTTTAAAAAATTTATTTTGTTAATTTTTAATAAAAATATCATTAAAGAGATGCAAGCAAGAGAGGTCTCCTGCGAATTGATTGTTTAAATCTATTAAACAACCGGGATTGTGTTTGGCAATAAAATTATTGATTGCCTAAAGGTGGTGTGATATGAAAAAACATTTCATAAAAAGATGACTTTGTCATCGATGTAAAATTTTTTTTATTTCTATTTTTTTTTTTTGATTTTATAAAAAAAATAAGAGGACCTTTTATAAAACAAATATCACTCCCCAGATGAATGACTAAATTCGGTCACAAAAAAATATACATTACCATTTTAAAACAACAATAACAAAATTTACTGCGTTATGACGTATAATAAATTCAAAATTTTTTTCAGACTTATCTTAAACGATTTAAATGATTGGTTACAAGATTTGTATTGTTGCATATATCGTTATATATCAAAAATGTAAAAAGCTGATCTTATAAATTTTAGTTTGAGTTTACGCAGCAGAAAAGAAGAATCGATCGATTTACAGCTTAATTTTTGAAAAATGAATTTGACCCTTTTTGAAAATAATTTCAACGTAGAATGATTTAAATTTACAATTGAATAGATTTCAAAAGCGGGTTTATTTTTCATTTTTTTTGAAGATAATACAGTAAATAACGTTGTCTTGAAAAAGTTCTCAAACATCCATCCTGTGGCGTAGTATCATAAAAAATTTACCGCGGCGCAGTAACATAATATTTTTTTTTCGATTCAAACCATAATTCAACCTCTAATTTAATGAAATTTTAAAGATGGTTCATGTAACAATTTAATTTCATTTGGGTTGCAACTTTTTTGCGACATTAATAAATTTAGTTGCGCCATGAGCAAAAAACTATTACGGCATTTTTTTGGTAATTGCAGCACCATCTTTAGTAATTTTCAAAAGAGTGTTATTAATAATAAGCAAAGCATTTATCCTGGGATCGAAGCCCATCTCCCAATCTTACCCTGTTAATGCTTTACAGCTTTAATGCATGCAAATGTCAAAATCTAATTAACCTAACTAAAATTATTTATAAATAAAGTTTGAAAAATTTTGCGGTTAAACATGAAATTTATGCTTGTAAAATTATTTAATGTTGTCAGGATTGATCAAATTCAGTTTTGATAATTGTAACATCCAAAAATAAAATTATACACATCACACCAACATCATATTGGTTCAGTATCACGAGGGCATACAAATATTATTGCAGATAAAATTGCTATAATTACAAATAATATCCAAAAAAAGCTAGCTACCATGCCAGTTTTTTCTACATTACGATGAGGTTGCGCGTACTAATGGGTTGGTAGCTAATTATGTTGAAATTTTGAGTAGCGGAATATAATATTATCAAATGCTTTTGTACGTTCTCTTTAGGTATCATATTAATTCCAAGTGAGGGTTGTAAAACAAGGCCGCATCCTACACGGAAAGAGTTCACTAGAAAGTCGCGAGAATTTTTTTTCTAAGATAAATGTTACACAAAGTCAACTAATTTCGTTGATATTATTGTACACACCTATGTTAAGAGTTTGCGACATGTGATTTGAAATTGATCTTTCCGAATCTAGAACAGTTTAGGATAAATTTAAACATCATAGTATTTTGCTCGTAAACAATGATGCAATTTAAGTCAGTCCATCACTAACTAACTTGAGCAAACAATACAATTGTGATTACTATAAAAAAAAAATTATAAATAATACATCTAGTGCTCCGAGCAAGTCGAATCGACCCGGGTCATTTGACCCGACTCGAGAAAAAATTCGAGTCGGGACTATCATTTTATTTCACGAGTCCTAATCTCTTAAAACCCGTCGGGTTAGGGTCTCGATTTTGCTTGACCCGGGTGACCCGAATGATCAGGTGATGCTATTA